ACATTGTAACTATTTTAAAAATTATTAATAAAGATATGAGCAAGGCCTCACCTTAACACCAAAAAAAAAAAAAAATTAATTACTTACAATTAAGTTCTTCAAATTCTTCATTATTGGCTAATAATTCTTCATTGGATAATTCCTCTTCGTTAGAGGTAAAGGCGGTATTAACCTTGATTTTATTATGTTATCATTGGCAGTTCCTATATCTGAATTTGATTCTTGATCTTCTTGGTCAGATTCATCTATATTCATATAAGATTTTATATGTTTATCTTTATGTAATCTTTGTTTTTTTGGTGGCGAACCTATTGGTTTGTATTTTTTTTTTTTTTTTAATGTTAAGGTGACCCCTCCGGTCAAGTACTTTTATTATTGTATAGACTATTTTTATAACTAGATGATCTACATCCATCGTACATATATTTCTATATACATAATCTTACTACAATACTATTTTAAGTAACTACCTTAAAACAATTTTATTCTCGAGATAAACCTGCTAGAGCCTTCCGTACTCACAATCTGGCTGACCTAGGCTTCAGTTGATACGTACAGACCGAGGCTCACTACTTGCGGCTCAGTTTTCTGATACTACTACACAACCTACTTCTGTTCTTATAAAGTTCACCCAAACCCCGATACACATTTACAAGTATCCCCAGCTATCCCAAACTACCAATTCAGATAGCTTGGAAGGGCTGTGACCTGCTTCTGGTCCTCACAATTGAGTTTTTTTTTCTGGCTACCCTCCGGCAGCCTGGTTGATAGAGTGCTTTGCCAAGCACTTCGGTCCTGTTCAGTTTTTACCAGTTTTCCAAGTATCAATCTGTATGTAGTACCATTGAAGATTTGTGCTACCTCACTATTCGGGACTTTCTAAGTGAGTACTCTACTGCCATATCAGCCTTGTAGTTTTCTGCGATTCCGAAGAACTTATCTTGGGTTTGCACTGACTAAACTGGCTTGCATGTCTTTGTATAACTCCTTATATTATACAAATACCCTGGGATCATTCAGTTTCTGGCAAACCATAATTGGTATAACCACAGTTACAGGGTCTTGAGTTTTCTTGACCACGGCATTAGTTACCAAATTCTATTTTTCTTAAAATCTAATTTTTGCTCTCCATAGGAATTGAACCAATACTCAACCGCTTGGGGGTGTGACAACTTGACCACTTCACTAAGTTGCCACACTCTCTATTGGTTTGTATTAATAATATAATAAACTAACAACTATTAATAAATAAAAATAATTAGTTGTTACTTGTGATTTC